GTCTCTGTCCTTCTTCATAGATTGCAGCTTGTCCAGAATGCTGCGGCACACCTTTTGACTGGAACCAGAAGGTTTGCCTCTATTACCCCAGTCCTCGCTGACCTGCATTGGCTCCCTGTCAAATACCACATTGAGTTCAAAATTCTCTTGCTCACCTTTCAAACCATAAACAATACTGCGCCGTGCTACCTCATTGAACTCCTTAATCCGTATATCCCCAGGAGAGCCCTAAGATCATCAGGACAGTTACTCTTGGTGCAGCCTAGATCCCAGCTAAAGACCAGAGGTGACCGTGCTTTTGTCCTGGCAGGCCCTAGCTTCTGGAACAATCTTCCTGCTGCCGTTCACGCCTCTGATTCCATCCATTCATTTAAATCACAGTTAAAAACTTAGCTGTGTGGCCGAGCGTTTTCGGTTAGTCAGTGCACATTCCCTATATTTCATCCAGCTGTTATTTATCTTCTATTGATGTACCACTGTATGTATACCCCCACTTTATATTTATGAATACTCAGTGATTTTATTTTCTAAAATACGCTCTGATGTTTTATTTCTTATTTTATCTGTATTTTTGTTTAACCAGCTTTTCTCAATTCTTAGCTTATTTGTACTCTGTTATGGTCTCATATCTGTTATGTTTGAACATTTTTATGAAGCACTTTGGTGTACCTTTGGTCTTAAATGTGCTATACAAATAGTTGTTGTTGTTGTTGTTGCAGGTCTCTTCTTTGCTGACATCTTGGAAAATTATTTCGGCAGTCCCTCTCTCTTTTCTGTTATGCGATTGGGTCGTTTGTTCACCTTATGTGGAGCATTCCCTCACATTCGGTTTGCCAGAAGGATCTGGATGCTGATTATGGGCTTTGTGATGTCACTTCCTGCCCTTTTCAACATCGGCCTGCTCTTCTTCCTAATTGTGTACACATTCTCCATCATTGGGATGTTTAACTTTGCCTACGTGAAGCATGAGATGATGATCGATGACATGTTTAACTTCAAGACATTTGGAAACAGCATCATCAGCATGACTATGATCACCACGTCCTCGGGGTGGTACGGCCTGTTGAGTCCCATCATGAACACGCCTCCAGACTGCGACCTGCGATTACCTGAGCCTGGTAACTGCGCCAACCCGACGGTGGGGATTGTTTTCTTCAGCTCCTACATCCTCCTCTTCTGCCTGCTGGTGATCCACCTGTTCATTGTTGTCATCCTGGAGCTCTTCAACACAGCGAGCCCTGAGGACGCTGAGATGCTGAGTGATGATCACCTCCAGATGTTTTATGAAACCTGGAGGAGATTTGACCCCAGTGGCTCGCAGGTCATACAGTACAGGTGAGACTGAGCTCGGTGACAGTTTCTAACCTTAACACTAATCAAAAATGGTTCTGCACTATAATGGACTCCACTGTAACAGTCTAATAGTCTCTAATGGACTTTAATATTTTCTAATGTGTTCCCCAGTGAGCTGGCAGACTTCTGTGATGGTCTCCAGGATCCTTTGAGGATTCCCAAACCAAACACCATAAAACTGACTCACTTGAATCTGCCTCTGTTTCCTGGAGACCAGATCAGCTGTTTGGATGTTCTGCGCACAATTACTACACAGGTAAGGTCACCTGGGACGGGCTGCCAACATTTTGATATGTTTCTTAAACTCTGTTTGCTTAAACTAAAACCACTCTAAAGTCTTCTCCTTAAATGTTTACTGAAGAATTTTAGGTTTCCTCTTTATTTTCATCTTGTTAATCAACCAAAGACCCAGACATTCATTTGAAAGCCTGATGCTTAGCCTCGTCCACCCCAGCTGTAAAACTCAGAAACCAGTCTTACTTGTTATCATCTATCGTCCACCTGGGCCTTACACAGAGTTTCTGTCTGATTTCTCAGACTTTTTATCTGATTTA